TTTTTTTTACGTATGACTTCTCATCTGTGTCATCAGTTGTACTCACTTTCATTCTCACCTACCTGGGGGTTCGGCTACCAGCTCATGTCTCATCACATTCCAGGGTTCTTTTCTTTGCTCCAAACAGGTGATCATGTCTGGCTTAGAGGCAGCAATACCTGTTTTAGTAAAAATTACATGAATCTTGCTCTTATTCTCCAATTACCAACTTAGTAGTGTGCGCAGTAAGAAGAATGTAATAGAATATTCTAGTAAATGAATTCTAAAATACTAATTTATTAAAAAATTAAATATTAAGGAAACATTTTAATTTTGTAAGTTCTTAATTTCACTGCCTAGTACCACTCAATCAAAAATTAGTAGTGGCTATTAGATTTTAAGATGTGAGCAACAGTATGTTATGCTACTAAATTTCTTTTTTTTTTTTTTTAAAGACGGGGTTTCACCATGTTGGTCAGGCTGGTCTTGAACTCCTGACCTCAGGTGATCCGCCCGCCTTGGCCTCCAAAGTGCTTGGATTACAGGCATGAGCCATCACGCCCAGCCTATGCTACTAAATTTCTAAAGTTAACACTAATCTAGAGTGAAAGACACAGATCAGCTCAGGAATGTAGAAAGTTCAGGTTAAAATTAAACATCTTAAAATTCTTTTATATAGGCAAATCTTGAAGTTGAAAAAAAAAGATCTGAAAGCATAAATTACAAAAAACCAATTTATAAATAAATAAATAAATATTAGGGTATATTACGAAATTGCTTACTGAAGTTATGCTCACCCAGGAAGGCCAGGTTTCTGTAGTTCTCTAACATCACATCCATATACAAATTCTGCTGAGCAGTGTCCAGGCATTGCCACTCCTCCAGAGAGAATTCTATGGCCACATCCATAAATGTCAACACTCCCTGAAACACACACGCATACACACATATATTTACCAAGTGACCATGAGCAGAATTTTTTATTTGACTCAAGGTAAAACAAAAATAAAGAGAAGTTCTTACTTACAGGACTGACTGAAAATAATTAATAAATAACTATGAACACAGAAATATTCTCTAATTATTCTCTAACTCTGAGACAAGCCAGTAGCATAAGATCCGTAAGATCAAAATATAGATGATACTTTTCTGAATGTTGAAGTATAAAACTGAGAGCACAAACACTAACGTGTACATTTTTGAGTGCCATATTTACATCGTAGAGAATGAGGTGTGTAAATTTTTCAGATGGAAAAAACATATTGAGTTATAAAGTACTGCTCAAATTTTAATGTGTAAAATACACTGGAGATCTTGTTAATGCAGATAATTTTTTCAGAAAATCAGTAAAATCTGAGATTCTGAATCTCTAACAAGCTCACCAGTAATGCCAATGTTTTTGGCCCAAGAAAACTATCTGGTCAAACATTCAGTAAGTGAAAGAGGCTGTGTGTTTTTTAGTTTTTCCTGCCTGTAAGCAGAGATGAGAGCTTTCATTTTCCAAAGAAAGATAAATGCAAAGAAAACCTAAGAAAAGGCAGCTGCCAGATTAAATGTGATTGTTTATCCACATCTGCTGAATAAAGATACTTAATAATGAAGAGTTAAATAATTAACTCTATAGAAAAAAAAAATCAGTCACCGAGCTCATTAACCAAGTAAGTTATTAATATCAACTGCATTAAGACAAATATCTATGATGTGCTGATCACAGAGAAGGACACAGCACCACAGCTATTATATCACCTCCCCCAAAAAGTAAATTGCAGTCTGAATTTAATCATGAAATATCGGTTTGGCCAGGCATGGTGGTCCACGCCTATAATCCCAGGACTTTGGCAGGTTGAGGCAGGTGGAACATGAGGTCAAGAGATCGAGACCATCCTGGCCAACATGGTGAAACCCTGTCTCCACTAAAAATACAAAAATTAAGCCAGATGTGGTGGCACGCACTTGTAGTCCCAGCTACTCGGGAAGCTGAGGCAGGAGAATTGCTTGAATCCAGAAGGCAGAAGTTGCAGTAAGCCGAGATCATGCCACTGCACTCCAGCCTGATGACAGGGCTAAACTCTATCTCAAAAAAAGAAAACAGTTTTATGTAAAGTTCCAGATGCAAATCCCCAATATTCTGTTAATTTTAATAGGGATTTTAAGTAGTGTTTCTTTCACATGCTAAAGAGCAAGTATTCTTTAATTTTTTTTAACTTTCTAGGTAATAAGTGCCATTTCATTTAAATAAGCATTTTCTTAATCCTGTTCTGCATAGAGCTAATGGAGAACAGAGATGGAACCTCAGCATTACATGCTCTCCACCTTTACTAAGGACCCCAGGTTTTCCCCAATAGAAATCCTGAATATCCACACCTTCCCATGTTCCACAGCCATGAAGAAAATATTCTTAATATTGCAGTTCATCAATTCATGATGAGAATTCCTTAGGACATATAAGAAGCCATGATGTTGAGGATGTAGAGGAGACTCTGATATATAGGAAATAAATATTTTTCAGAGACCCTTCACTATTATAAAACTAAAAAGTAGTTAAAACAAACTCATTAGGAAGAAAAGGCACAAGTAGAAAAGTAAAGCTTTGCAAGTACTAAATGCACAGCATTCCACGAGGCAGAGCAGATGCACCCCTTAATCTGATACCTGTTTAGCTTTAAAGAAAAAAAGCTTTTTTTTAAGAGTGGGGCAAGGCTGGCTGACTAGAACCAGTGGCAATAGCATGTGAATTTTGCACCGGCACCTGAGGTATCCAGGTTATCTCATCAGAACTAACTAGACAACTGGCATGGCCCACAGAGAGGAAGAAAGAGCAGTGTGGTGTGGTAACCCACCTGAGAGCCACACAGGGCATGGGAGCCCCCACCCCCTAGCCAAAGAGGCAGTGAATGAGCGTCCTACTTAACCGACACAAGCAAGCTTTTTACATGCAACTGCATAGCCCAAAGATTGAAAAATTTCACTTGTGAATCCATACCACCAGGGCCTAGGGTCCCAACCTCAGAGCTATGCAGATTCCCTACAACCTCTCAGCTAAAATCTGCTTAAGCCTGCTGAGATCCCATGGGAGGGGTGACCAGCACCATAGCTGCTGCTGCCTGCTGTCTAAGCCATTTGAGCTCCCTGGGGGAGGCGCAGCAACCAGCATTGGGACTGATAGCTGCCTAACACACTAAGCTCCTTGGGCAGAGAAAGGGCCACAGCCATCTCTACAACTCCAGGCTACACCTTTCCCCTGCTGGAGCCAGGGATGCTGGACGGCTTGGTCCCAAGAGGTGTCTCCCACAGCCCAACACACCGGTGGTGGCAGACTGCGGCCAGAGCACCTCTTCAGGCCTGACCCTGACCTATCCCTCGTCTCTGTGTGGGGTCTCTCTGGAGGAACTCCAACAACTTCAGCCAGAGGCGCAGGGACAGAACTCTGATCTCCCTGGGCCTGTGTCCCTAGGGGGAGAGTTGACTGCAGTCTCTGCAGACCAGCAAACAAAGCTTTTCCTCCTGTGAGTTCTGAGGAATCCAAGCAGCCCAAAAAAGAGGGCTTCTCCCCAGCAAAGCACAAGGACAGTAAAAATGCTTTATTAAATGGTTCCTGTTCCTCATGCCACCCAACTGGACAAGATACTCCAACAAGGGTTGGCAGACACCCTACACAGGAACATTCCCACTAGCAGCAGATTGGTGTTCCTTGAGGTCAGAGATCCCAGAGGAAGGAGCAGGCAGCCATCTTTGCTGTTCTACAGCCTCCTTGAGTAATATCTCCAGGTGCAGGAGTGAACCAGATAAATAGGGTCTGAAGTGAACCCCCAGAAAACCACTGCAAACATATAGAAGACGAACCTGGCCATTTAAAGCAAAGCAAAAAGCAATGAACAACAGCAAAAAAAACAGCCCCCAAAATAACGCCATCCTAGAGTCAGCAGCCTCTAAGATCAAAACTAGACAAAGTATTGAAGATGAGAAAGAATCAATGAAAAAAACGCTAAAAATCCAAAAGGCAAAGAGTGCCTTTTCTTCTCCAAATGATTGCAATGTCTCTTCAGCAAGGGTGCAGAACTGGACAGAGGATGAGATAGACAAATTGACAGAAGTAGGCTTCAGAAGATGGGTAGTAACAAACTCTACTGGGCTAAAGGAGCATGTGCTAACTGAAGGCAAAGAAGCTAAGAACCTTGATAAAAAGTTAGAGACAGGAGCTGCTAACTAACCAGTTTAGAGGAAAACATAAATGAACTGATGGAGTAAAAAAATCACAGCATGAGAACTTCATGAAGTATACCCAAGTATCAACAGACAAACTGACAGAGTATAAGAAAACACATCAGAGTTTGAAGACCATCTTGCTGAAATAAGGCATGCAGACAAGATTAGAGAAAAAAGAATAAAAAGCAATAGGCCAGGCATGGTGGCTCACGCCTGTAATCCCAGCACTTTGAGAGGCCAAGGTGGGTGGATCATGAGGTCAAGAGATCGAGACCATCCTGGTCAAAATGGTGAAACCCCGTCTCTACTGAAAATACAAAAATTAGCTGGGCATGGTGGCACGTGCCTGTAGTCCCAGCTACTCGGGAGGCTGAGGCAGAAGAATTGCTTGAACCCAGGAGGCGGAGGTTGCGGTGAGCCAAGATCGTGCCATTGCACTCCAGCCTGGGTAACAAGGGCGAAACTCCGTCTCAAAAAAAAAAAAACAAAAACAAAAAAACCCTCAGGAGCCAGACCTCTGCTCGTTGGCAGTCAGGCCACTGCCTGGGGGCTCTAATCATTCCAGTGGCAGATGAATGTAACCTGCATGTTGATGTAACAACTGTTTCCTCCCTGACCCCAGAGAAGCTGGCTCTAGAAGGTTGGCATAAATCCTGAATTTAGTTTAGGTGTTACATTTACTTTTATATAAAAAAAGAAAGTATAGTATATATAAATAGTACAAAACAATAACCCTTTTGGGGTTTCTTGTGGCGGTGGAAATAGTACCACATACGGTCATCAGAATATAAGCCATTCCTCATATCAATATGGGATCAGCTCCTTGACCTCTGAGGGGTAGGAGTACTTCCTGCTGTGTGTTTCCAAATCCGTCCCCACCTTATTTTGTGGCAGTGAAATGCCTCTTGGTCCTGTCCAAGTGTCTCACCGATTTCTGAATCATGTTCTAGTTGCTTGGTTCTGCCACAGGGGTCCAGTGTTCTTTGAGCATAACTGTACTAAATCCTTTTTCCAGATCAGTATAATAAAGGAGTGATGTGCAATAGTTAAAAAAAAAAAAGGCAATTAAATAAAGCCTCTGAAAAAATAAGAGACTGCATAAAAAAACCAAACCTACGATTGACTGAAATATCTGAAGGAAACAGGGAGAATAGAAACAAACTGGAAAACACACTTCAGGATATTCTCCAGGAGAAATTCCCCAACCTAGCAAGACAAGCTAACATTCAAATTCAGGAAATACACAGAACACCGCTAAGACACCCCACAAGATCAACCCCAAGAAACATAAGCATCAGATTCTCCAAGGTTGAAATGAACACAAAGAAATGTTAAGGGCAGCCAGAGAGAAAGGCCAGGTCACCTACAAAAGTAAGTCCATCAGACTAACAATGAACCTCTCAGCAGAAACACTACAAGTCAGAAGACAGTAGAGGATAAGATTTAACATTCTTAAAGAAAAGAATTTTGAACCCATAATTTTATATCTAGCCAAACTAAGCTTCATGAGTGAAAAAGAAACAAAATCCTTTCCAGAAATACAAACGCTAAGGGATTTTGTCTCCACAGGGCTGGCTTGCAAAGGCTCCTGAAAAAAGCACTAAATAAGGAAAAGAAAAACCAGTACCAGCCATTGCAAAAACACACCATAAAGAACAATGACGCTACGAAGAAACACATCAACCAGTGTACAAAATAACCAAATAG